GGACGGGTGCGCCCCCCGCCCACCCCCCGCCTCTCCCTCTCTCGCAGGGTCAGCGTCCGCCTGGTCCCTGCCCTCGCCGAGGAGGGGAGCCGGCAGGTCCTGCGGCAGCTCCGTGTCGACTGGCCCTCCGGCTCCGGTGGCTCGGCCCTCCCTGACACCGTCTCGGCCTTGAAGCGGGCGCTGGGCCGGTCACCCTGTGCCACAGCTTGTGAGCAGGGGCCAGGCGCAGCTGCGCTGCCTGAGGATGTCATCTGTAAAGTGCACTTGAAGAGCTTTGTGGAGCAGCAGGGCTTGGTGGGCTACGACCCCAATCTAGATGTCCTTCTGGGTGAGCCTCGCATGTACAGCAGCTCTAGTGTGACAGTGGGGGGGGGCGAACGGCTGCAAACAGGCCTGTTTCCTTTTTTCCCAATTGTTTTTAGAGAAAATAAGGGGGCCTTAGATCCAAATTGCCTTCTCCTCTTACAGCCCTTCAGTCTGGTTGGACTCAGAAACACAGACAGCCTGGGGCAGACCCGATAGTGCAGGATGGCGGGGCAGGGTGGCAAACCCTCGTGTTCTGCTCTGAGTGTCCTTCCTTCTTTCAGTGACGGAGGGGAAGCTGCGGTCCCTGGCTGAGCTGCAGCAAGCTGTTCTGCAGTGTGCGGTGAGTAACCCTGTGGTGCTGCCTGCCTCTCGCTTTCCAGACGTCGTTCTCTTGTCATGCGATAGCATTTGAGCTCCCTGCTGTGCTCTGCTGCAGGCTGGAGGCCAGGGGAGCTGCTGCAGCATTGTGCATGTGGTCAGCTGCGAGGAGGAATTCCGGCAGCAGCAGTTGGACCTGCTCTGGAGGATTTTGGACCCAGGAGCCCACACAGCTTTGCAGGTGAGGAACCTCTGACACCCTCCTCACTGTGGCCCCCAACATCCTTGTGCTCAGTCAGCCTCCTTCAGTCCCAAGGATTGCCCCCTTGTGAGTCTTCCCTTTCATTGGTGGCCCCTCCACACTCTTGCCCAGGCAGTGGAGCAGCCTCTGTGCCCTTGGGATTTCAGTGCTAAGGAAGGAGGGGCAGGAGAAGACTGTGGGGACACAGCTAGAACAGGGCTGGTTTTAGCCTGGTTCTCCTGCACTGCATTTTGGTGGAGCTTCTGAGTCTTTGACCCCAGCCCCAGCCTCTCCTCTCTCTTTCAGAAACACCTGGTCTGTGGGCCAGTGAAGGTGACAAACCCCTCATCACCCATTGGGGCAGACCAGTACTTCCAGTAAGTTGGTGTGTAGTGAGGTGCCTACTGCGCTGCTTGCCTGCCAAGGCTCCCTGCTTTTGCTTGGCTGGGTCGCTGCTACAGCTGAGCAGCCTGAAGGCTGGGGGAGCCCTGGCGTGTTCTCTGGGGCCAGCTCAGCCCAGGGGTGGCGGCTGTGAGTGTCTCTGTTCCTCCCAGGCTCCGAAAACGCCAGATGTACGAAGCCTCCGTGATGAAGTATGGGGAGCTTGCGCAAGGTGAGGTTTTGCTCTGCGGCTCCACACACGGGTGCTGCTCCACCCCCCTCTCCACTGCTTCCATAAGTCTCCCCCTTCACCTCTGAGTCTGTCGCCAGTGGGGCTCTCCCCTGCATGGTGCTCCTTCTCCACCCTCCATGATGGAGCCAGGTGCTGACCTTGCTTGGGGTAAGGCATGTAAACTGCCATGTGGGGCACGGGCATGGGCACAGAGCAGCACCTGCAGCTGGGGCCAGGGCTGTAGAAGTGTGGTGGTCCCCAGCTTCCACTGGAGCCCCCTGGCCCCAGGGGTGTTCCTGCCTGGGTGTTGGGGGTGACAGTACATGGGAATGGAGCAAGCTGTGCGTGATGCCACCTGCGTTCTCCGCAGATGAGGCCTGGACTGAGGTGATTGATACCCTCACAGTGGCTGCCATCAGGTTTGAGATGCTGAGCACTGCTCACCGGAGTCAGGTAGGACAGGAGTTTATGCAGAGCCAGGGCAGGCAAGCTGTGGCAATAGTGGAGCGGCTCTGTGCTGAGCAGCCTGGACTGTGACTTCTCCCTGCCTTCAGATCACCCTGGACCTGGAGGACAGCAGCATCTCCACAAAGGGAACCAAGAGCGGCGCCTTTGTGATGTACAACTGTGCCCGGCTGGCCACGCTCTTTGACACCTACCAGCGGGCTGTGGAGCGGGGTGAGCACCACCCCCACGACCCTCCTGTGACACCCACTCCTGGGCTGTTCCTGATGCCTGGAGCCACAGGGGCTTCTCCGGGCACAACACTAGTCTCCCACCTCCTTTCCAGGAACATACCCAGCTCTGCCACCAGTGTCAGAACTGAACTTCTCCTGCCTCCGGGAAGAGGTGAGTGCTGAGAAGGGGAATGTGGGGACCTGTGTGCCCTTAGGTCTGGTGATGGATGCTGCTGGCCTGAGAGGATCCGGCCCTGTCCCAACACATGTAATCCTTTCACAGGGCGAATGGCTCCTGCTCTTCAACTATCTCCTGCCCTTCCCTGAAGTCCTGCAGCAGGCAGCAGAGCTGCCCACACCCACCAAGGGGATCCGGATCACAGCCAACACAGAGACAGTAAGTGCCATGTGCTGTAGCACCCATGGGTGCTGCTCCAACAGTCCCAGCCCAGGGCAAAACTACACACCAGCAGTGAGCTGCCCACTGGTGAGCGACACAGGGTGGTGCCAAGGGAAGAGACTGCAACACCCCTGGGGCTGCTCCTGCTGTACTTGGGGTGGGGAAGGGCCCAAGACCAGCCAGACCCTGTTGTGCCAGCAGCTGTCTGTCTTGTAGGTGTGCAAGTTCCTGATACAGCTCAGCATGGATTTCAGCTCTTACTACAACCGGGTCCACGTCCTGGGGGTGAGTTGGATGTCCTGGACCTGCAGGCTTGCAGCCCTGCAGCCCTTCCTGGGGCTGGACTGTAGTTGTGGGGCAGCCATGTGGGGAACGGGCTCTGGGGTGCCAGCAGTGTGATGCAGCCCTGCACCAGCCCCTCAGGGATGCGTACACAGGGTGCAAAGGCAGCAGTGCCACTAGAGCCAGCCTGTTGAGCGGCAATATGCCCAGCAGCCCCAAGTCGCTGCTTTTCTCCCCACAGGAGCCATTCCCTCACCTTTTTGACCAGATGTTTGCCCGCCTCCAGCTGCTGGGAGCAGTGAGGGACATGTTCCACAGCGCACTGGCAACTCTGCACCTCCCTCCTCTCAGCCAAATCTGAGCCACCGCCAAAGAGCCTGCCATGGTGTGACGGGCACCAGGACAGTGCGCCACCAGAGGAAGGACAGGCCACAACCTCCCTGGCAGGGTGAGGGGCTGCCCCACCATCAGGCAGGGAGTCAGGGCATGCCTCAGCCCTCACACAGGTGCTTCCCCTCCCACCACTCGTGGGGTTTGAGGGTTTGGCTATGTGCACCTGCGGCTGTGCCCAGCGTGGGAGATGGGTGCACCTGCCACATCGATGCCAGCAGAAGGGAGGATGCCTGTGGCACCCTGTGAGCCAGGCTGGGGAGTACCAGGGGAGGTAGCACCGGGGACCAGTCACCACAAAGCCAGGCACCTACCTCGCTTCCCTCAAAGCCATTTATTGAAGGTTGCTCCATGCTGGCAGGGAGCTCCTGAGACTCAAGGTTCCTGTTGGCCCCTGGGCCAGGCCCCAATACTGGGGTCCAATACACTTGTTGCTGGACAAATGCTGATTATGTCTGACCCCAACAGAGCACCTTGCCCCATGCAGGGCCGGGACCATGTGCAGCTTCTTGATCTTCCCTGTGCTTTGATGGTGCTAGGGCCTGCTGCTGCGCAGGAACAGCTCGCGGCAGCACTGAAGGGCTGCTCTGAGGTGGGGGGGGGTGGCACAGCACGCCTTGGGCTGCTGCCCCTTGCCCTGCAGGGTGCTGCTACCGAGGATCAGTGCCCCCGCTTATTTCAGCACAGTCCCCAGCACTGCAGGGTCAGGGCTGTTTGTTACACAGGGCCCTGTCCCAGGGAACATGAGGCTGCAGCCTGCCATGTGCCACACCAGTGCCTGACCGGTCTTGGCCTCCTGCTGCCCTCCAGCTCCGCTCAGCACCCTCCCGAGCAGGTTCCTCTCTGGGATCAGGGCTGGAAAGCCTGGACATGGGTCCTTCACACCTCAGGGAGGAAGAACTTCTGGGCAGGGTGGGCTGAAGACCCCAGTCCTCCTTTACTGCCTGGGGAACCAACAGGCTTATCCAGGAGGGGTCACATCTGCCTCCTCTCCTGAGACCACCAGACTTGAGCAACCCCGGTGTAGCTGTGCTGTCCCTGAAGGAGCCAGGCATGCCCATCCCCTTAAGAGGGGACACATCAGCACGCAGGCTGTGACGGGGGCTGCAGTGACGGGCAGAACACAAGTGCTGTGTGCCCTCCACAGGCAGGCAGAGAGCGGCGTGTACCGCACACTTGCCCCGTTACTGGTGAGCCTCCGGCGGAGGGGGCTCGGGGGGAGCCGTACCATGCAGCATCTCCAGACCCTGCCCACAGAGCACGCAGTAGTACTGCAGCTCCCTGCCGGCCTCTGCCACCTCCCAGCAGTCCAGCTCAGCCAGGTCAGGCACGTGGAAGAAGGTGGTGCTGAGCGTGTCCAGCCCGCCCGGGCCCCGGCGCCACAGCGTCAAGCGCTGGTCCACCGAGGCGGAGAGCAGCAGGTCCGGCCGCAGCACCCGGATTCCCGTCACGTGGGCGGCATGGGCGCAGGGCCTGGCCACCCGCTCCAGGACACGCAGGCAGGTCCCCGCCACGGCCTCGCCCCCGCCCAGGGCTACCTCCAGCAGGCAGAGGTGGATGGAGCCGTCATCGCTGCCGCTGGCCACCAGGTACCGTCCCTCCGGCGTCTCGTGGACGTGGAGGCTGTTCACACCGCAGCTGTGGGCCATGATGGTGAGCAGCGGGGCGCCCAGGGCTGGGAAAACAGGCTCGGTCAGGAAAGCAACACTCACCTTGGTCAGAGGGAGCAGAGGAGCCACCAGCGTGGTGGCCTCCCTCAGGAGGCAGAGCAGAGCCACCGGCAGCGGCACCCACCCAGGAGCTGCATCTCTCCCTCCTCTCGGCACAGGGCGTCCGCCGCATCCGCAACAGCGCCGGTGATGTCCCAGAAGGCAACGCTGCCGTCAGTGGCTGCACTGCACAGGAGGTGCCTCCTGGAAGGGAGGTGTCAGGGGAGCCTCCAGCTGCAGCCCTGCAGCATGCAACCCTGAGGGTCCCCACCGGGATCCAGGGAAGTGGCAGAACAGCCCCCACAGACTAATTTCTCCCTTCCCTCCGCCGGCTGAGCTACCGGCGGCCGTCCCTGCAAGGACAAATGCTTCTCCCCAGAGCCCCACTGGTTGCAGCACAGCATTTGGGGCTCACCTCTCCCCTCCTGCCCGCATATGCAGGAATGCCTCCACCTTGAGCACGCAGCGCTGGTGGTGAAATGACTCCGCCACCAGCACCAGCTTCTGGGTGGCCTCCAGCAGCCCGAAGACCCTGTGAAGGAGCAGAGGGCAGTCAGCTGTGGGAGAAGGGGGCTTCCAACACCTCCACCCCCGCTTGCCACCATGTGCCATCCTGTTCCCAGCTCAGAGCTGGCCACGTCCATGGCAGCAGCCTCCCCTGTGGAGCCTGCTCTGCTCCTGTCACCAGCCCCAGCTCCGTTCTCCAGCCCAGGCCCCACGACAGCTCCTCACCGGACCGATCCGTCACTGCAGGCAGCAGCCAGGAACTTCCAGGGCATTGGCAGCTGCTCGGTGCTGGTCCCAGGCACGACCGAGAGGGACATGTACCTGCAGCAAACACGATGCTCACCAATGTGACACCTTGGTGATGCCTGCGGCTGTGGGAAGGCAGGTGGCCCAGCAGAGCAGCCCAAGCTCAGTGCGGGACGCAGCTCTGAACACTCAAGAGGACGCATGAGGCAAGACCGAGCCTTCCTCTAACCCCAAAAGCCCCTCGAGGCCCAGCCACTAGGCACAGGACACCAGGGATGTGTGTGTGAAGCCACAGCAGCTCTGTCTGCCTCAGCTGAGCCTGTAGCCGCACAGAGTGGGTATCCCAATGGAGGCCAGCGCGGTTCCCAGCACCCTCCCGGACTGTGGTAATTGCTAACTCTGCCTCAGGCAGTCCTTGAGCATCACCTTGTCTCCGGGTCCATCTTGACAAGCTTGTGCCTGTTCTTCTTCCGCTCCCAGTGCTCGTCCAGCCGGTGGGAGGCTACATGGATGACCTGGCAGGCCACAGCGCTCTCGGAAGCTGGGTCCCTGGAACACAGCAGGCGGTAGCACTCGATCTGTGCCCGGCCACCCGCAGAGAAGAGCAGGGCAGACAAACCCTCGTCACCGAAGCCCTCGTCACCGGGTCCCGCGGGGCCAGCCAGCGCCAGCGCTCTCACGCTGGAAATGTGGTCACTGAGCCGGGCGAGGGGCACAGCTGCCCGGGAGCCCTCGCTGAGCGCCAGGACGCAGGCCGTGGTGTCCTCGCTGCCGGTGACGAAGATGTTAAGGGCAGCATGGCCAGGCACCTCCACCGCCCCCAGGCGCCGTACGCAGGCCATCTCCCGCCCGTGCAGGGATGCCAGGAGCACCTGCTGCTCGCGGGGCTCGGCCTCGCAGCGGTACAGCATCACGTCCCCGCACTTGATGAAGGCGAAGGCCTCGGCCGAGGGGCTGCTGCAGTAGCTCCAGGAGCGGTGCCCCCCACCGCAGGGGATGCAGTGGAGGTTCTCGCCGGTCCTGCTGCTCCACACCACGAAGTTGTCGGCATGAAAGCCCAGCACGAGGAGGTCCCCATCCGGGGCGAAGCGCAGCTCCTCAATCCACTGCAGCCCTTTGCAGGGCCGGTGCTTCCGCAGGACCTCCAGCTGCTGGCCCCGCAGGCGGAGCTGGCGGTAGCAGCCGTCCCGGCCGGTGCTGTAAATGTAGTCCCCGTGGCAGGTCACCGAGGTAACCCCCGTCTTCCCGTGGAGCCCGAAGAGCACGGACAGCGGGGTCTCGAGGGGAAGAGCCCCTTTGCACAACAAGCGAGAGGGCTCCGACCCGCTGCCGGAGTCCTCGCCGCCTGGGTCGGTGCCGCCATCGGCACCGCCGGAGCTTTCTGCAGCCCACTCCAGGGAGCTGCTGCAAGGGAAGAGGAGGAGGGAGCCCCGGCGGTCCCCGCAGACCAGGAGCCCTCCCTGGGGCAGGAAGGCCGCGCAGGTGTGCCAGCGCTGCTTGCAGGGGGGCAGCAGGTACCGTCCCATGAGTCGCACCCGGGGCGCCTGCCCGGGCCGGTGGGCGACGTCCAGCCAGAGCATCTCCCCGTCGGGGCCGGAGACCAGGAGGGCGGCGGCGGCGGCACCGGGGGGCAGCCCGGGCCGGGGGGCCCAG